GCCTGGGCAAAGGGAAGACTCACATTGACCCCTAAAAACCTCTCTGACCTGAGTAGGTTGGTACTGTGGACATGCAGTCCTGGCCTAGGGGCTCTAGGCGGGTGGTTGGGACCAGGCTGAGCTTGTGTGGAGCTGTAGAGCTGTCCTGGTGGCCCTTTGCCTTGGGGTGTGTGAATGGGTCCCCTGTTACCAAGAGCCGAGTTGTGTGCTGTGGGAGATGTTTTTGGTCTGCGGCTTTGCTCTGCAGCAGGGCACTACCATCTCTGCTTTACGGAGAGCAGGGGCTGTGGGTGTTTCAGGGGTGTTTGGGGGTGCTTCTGAGTCCTCCAAGCTGAGGAGATGCTTTGCTGATGTGATTAATCAGTATTTCAACCCAACAGAGGAACCTCACAAGCCAGGAACCAAGGAGAAACGTAAAAAGGCAGCTTCTTTCCAAACAGTGTCGCAGCTGCACAAGGTAAGAGCCAGCCCCTCATCCAAGGCCGTGAGGGAAGCATGCTCAGAGCGTCCGGGTATCAGTCCCACTTTCCTGCCAAGACTTTGGCGTCTCTTGTACTTGAGCTCCTGGGGCCTGAAGGAGCACCACTAGGAAAAGCTCCCGACACCTCTCATCCCTGGGCAAGAGGCCTGTGCCTGGCAGAGCCCCAGCCCTGTCCCCGTGATGCCAGGGAAGGACTCGAGGCTCCAGGCTGGGAGAGCGATGGCTGCCTTTGAGCTGGAGCTTGTGCTGCTTCTGCCCACGTGATGCTTGCACTGCTCTGCAGCTCCTTCGCCTTTGAGAGAGCGGCAGTTAAGACTTGTAGTGATGTTTAGATAATGTATTACATGAACATCACTTTAAGTCTGTGCTACTTCTCTCCTCATTCTTGTCGGCGGGAAGGACAGCCTTTGGGCAGAAGAAAATGGAGGAGGATCTTACAGGTCTCTGAGCAGGCAGCTCTCTGCTGTCCTGTCCAGGGAGGTGACCTGAGCTATTTGACAGCTCAGAATAACACACACTCCTCTTCCCATGCTCACCACAGGGATTATTTCTCCACCCCACAGCTTAAGCAACTGGAAAACAGCACAGAGGGGTGTGTGAGCCCAAAGCTGTCTCCTGCCATGACAGCCTTGTGGTGACAGGGTGCTCAAAGAGGGCAGCGCTTGTGTCAGAGCCCCCACTCAGGGAGAAGTGTGACTTTCTTCCTCCTGGACAAGTCACAGGCCTTGGGGAAAGGTGTCTGCAGTGAGAAGTTGCCCCATGACTGCATGGAGCTGTGGGAAGGCATTCCCTTCCTCGAGCTGGTCCTGGACAGGCTGAGCCTGTATGAGGAGGGGAACACAGCCTGGAAGGATGGAGGGTGCAGATGCCTTTCCCACAAGAAAAGGCAGGGCCATCTCTTGACTTGAGCCCTGCCTTGGGGAGAGAAGGAGGCCCAGGCTGGATGAGCAGGGTCCCCTGTCACAGCTGAAGGCCATGGGCAGCACTGCGGGGGTACGGGGAGAATCTGCTGAGGCGGGGACTGCAGGCGCAGCGGATGCCAGCACTACGTTTGCAGGGTGGTGGGCAGCAGCAGAGCTGTACACCAGGAATATGCTCAGTCCTGTGTTCCTGGCTCTCCGCTGCAGCAAAACTTTACCTACAAATACTTGGGAAGCATCTGGCTCCTCTCTGGCATAGCAACACCAGCAGGTGCCATTTGGCATGTCTGCCAGCCCAGTCCCCTCTGCCGTTGCTCCCACCCTGGCAGAAGGCAGTGGTCCCGCTACAGGGCTGCACAGAGAGCAGCCAAGCTGCAGGAGGCTCCCCCTCTCT